TGATATTGCAATGAGGGGTATGCCACCCGTGAGTAAGGAAAACAAAGCCTACAGGATGAGTGCATGTGCAATGATGACATGAGGCTGGAAGGGGAACTCATTTGATGTGTGGAAGCCTTAAACCCTGAAACAAGAACCGCCTCAAGCAAAACGCTTTCACTGGGCGAGGGCAGCCAACTTGCAATTGGCACCAAAAGTGCATTGTGAGTTTTTAAGTCTGAACCATGTCTGAATCATTATGTAAATAGACTTGATCGCTCTTAGGTTGGACCCCATCGCTAGTAGGTTGGAGGCCGTTACAATTAGGTTCCCTTGGCTATTAGAGCACAATATTGTATTAATTTCTAGTTTCAGCATTCTGGACTGGGTCTCTGTTGCACTTGATGTGTGAAGCACAGAAATCATGTCACCCGCAGGGCATGAGAATTCCATGCAGTTTGGTGACTGATTTTTCCGCTGCCGTTGAGGTCTAGCCTCTTAAAGGCTTTCTTGGCGCGTGTGGCACGATCATCCTCCATATCTCCAGACTTCTCCTGAAACCAGTTGACGGATGTTGACGGGAGGAAAATAGGAAGATGCTACCCGAAAACAAGAACAATCGCGAAATGCCACTGCCCTGCAAGGATTGCACGGCCAAGGCTGGCTTTGCAACAAGACTTCCAGCCTCTAGTGGATCCTGGAACATCCAAATACCCCAGGGGAACATCCAGAAGAAACGACCCCCATTCACCTGTTAGAGTCTTCCGCAACCGAAGAGGCGATGGCCAAGCCCAAGAGTTATGTTGGGCGATGGCAGCCATACATGGCCAACCATCAAATAATATTTTGTGTGAAAAAAACGTGAAAAAAAGCAAAATAAAAGCAAATGAAAATGCAAAAACAAAGCAAAAACAAAGCAAAAAGCAAAAACAAAGCAAAACAAAAAGCGAAAAAAAAGCGAAAAAAAAAGTGAAAAAACAAGCGACAAATATGTTTTTGCTGTACCCTCCTAGGAAAAAAGCGAAAAAAAGCGAAAAAAAAGCGAAAATAAAGCGAAAAAAATGCGAAAATAAAGCGAAAAAAAAGTGAAAAAAAAGCGACAAATACGCACAGCTACATTTTTTTGCTTTTTTGTTTGCTTTGCCTTTTGCTTTTTTTTTTGCTTTGTTTTTGCTTTATAAAACTATTTTGGCTCCTTGTATCTATGGCTGGCGTGCCCGACATAACCCAAGAGCGTGTGGCATGTGTCCATCTCTCCTCCAAAAACATGTTTGTTCATCTCTCATATGAGTCCCAAAACATGAAGGGATCATTTGTCCATCTCTCATATGAGATCCCTTTGTTCATTACTCTTCCAAAATAGCACAAAGGGATCTCATATGATCCCATGCACCGACGAGCGTAGAAGATGAGGCAACTGAGGTTCGATGAGCATGTTCCGAATCGTCTTCCTATACCTCAAACGGGCAGCGCCGATGCCAAGAGGCATCCTTTTCTGGATGATCACATGCACTAAAGCAGCATACGGCAAAACTCGACAATCGGCGTGCCAGCTGGCAGGAATGATATTGAAACTTGCTATGTATGCCAAACTCCCAACACATCAATTATATATCATCAATTGGCATAGCCTCACATCTTGCAACTCAAGCTCTTTCCAACAGAACCTTATCCTACAGCACCTATTGCCGCCAAGTCCTCCATCAGCTGGCTGCTAATGGCCCTACAAACTGCTGCAAACCCTTCTTCTTATGATGCAAAACCGGGCGGCTCGTCATGATTCTGTGCAATCCTTAGCTCAGCATTGGAATCCTCTCAGCGGTGAGGGGGCGCCCATGCAGCCATCCAAGATGCAATGCATCTCACCCCCCTCGTGACTGCACCCTCCACACTGAGCCGATGCACCAAAATTGGGTGACGCTTTACACATGCCACACAGAACCCACCGAAACCGCTTCGGTGAACCGAAACGCGCTCCTCCGATCATCGATCCGAAGCTTTTTTCACCAAGCCACTCCTCAGCACTCAGCTGCGGTCGCCGCCAGCTATACCTTGGGCTTCTTCTTGAGGAGTCAGCCTGCAGGGGACTGTGACGTTCAATTGGCAGCCGGCGACCCACCAAATAAGAAGGAACATGTTCTGTGGCATCTGCGGGTTCAAATTCCACTTTGTGGTCTCACAGCATGGTCAAAGGGGTCTCGGAAGTGCCAAATGGACATCAAATCGCAGTAAAGGGGATGATGATTTCTGTGGCTGTGGAGGTGCCCCAGCTGCGGACTGCATTCATCTCAGGGAAATGGGAAGCACGGAAGGTAGTAGAAACCATTTGGGTCTTGAGCAATGTCCAAGATCAAACCTCTGGTCAGCTCCAAAAAAAGGGAGAAAATCATGTGAATGTTCACTATTCATGCAACACCAAGCCCAAGTCTGGATATGTCTTCTCACTAGAGTGTGATAGAAACATCCTTATACATATCTCTGCAAGATCCAACAGTTTCCCAAAAGTTCTCAGTCAACATATCTCTGGAAAAGCCAAAAACAAAAATAAAGGAAGCAAATGAAAGAAGTCTGCGTCTACCAGCCCGAGTCTTGATGTAGCTGGGCCGCATCGATGCTTCCAGGTGGACGTGCCAACTTGCCCCGAGAGACAGGGTCATGGGGTGCATGACGGGATATAATGCTCATGTCGTATATATTGATTCAGCTTGATTCAAAACGATTCAACTTCAACAAATTCTACCAACCAGCTCACATTCTGCAGGTCTCATTGGTGCTTCACGGCCTGAGATCGTCCGGCACTGGTGATCTGAGATCGCCTCAAAGGCCAAACGCCAACAACACTCAACTGCGCTGGAGACTTTGCACAACTCAGACCTCCTCAGCCAAGACGCTGCATCCTTTTGTGTCTTTCCTTCTCTCGCCTTTGATCTGCTGCATCGAAGTAGTCTTTCAGTGTCATGTGGGAGTCCTCGGCCACCTGCCACACAACGCCACACCCGCCTCTGCTAGAGTGCCCGGTCCTGATTACATACAGTATAAGTCTATATAATATATATTTATATAATTATATATACTTGTTTGTGAAAATGGCTCTTCTCTTTGCACCGGCACATGCTTGCACACAGCTACTGCAGGACGGTAGCACGTCGGATGTGACCGCCTCTGGCTCATCATCTTCCAGGGTCGTGTCCAGTTTTTCTCGACCGAGCTGTGTCTCTGGAGCTGTCTGGGATCTTCCTAAGTACCGCATCCACGGTGCAAGCTGGCTGCACACGCTGTCACATGTAGAGCAACAAATGAAGTCTTCAAAGTGACCATCCTCGTGTCCTGGGGACTTCTCAAAAAGCGTCCAACACCGAGAGCGTCCAACTTCTCTCGGTGTTTGCCCATTTTCAGCGCCTAGGCTCCCACGGAGGCTTCTTCTGGTGGGGTTGATCTGGCTTGCCTGAACTGAACAGTGTCTCCATCAAAAAGAGTGCTACGGTTGATGGACACAATCCTGCACCATCAACCGTGTCCGTATATAACCCTTGTGAAGTGTACTGGTCCGGTGGTGCAGGATTTCGTCCATCAACAGTACCAAGCACAGAGACAAAACAGCAACACCAAATACAGCACCTGATTTGTGATGGCACTTTGCAAACAAAGGAACAAAACAGCAATGCACGCGATGACGGTAGTAGACTGACACGTGCATGTGGTAATTGTTCACATGCGAATACATGTTGTGCAAATCTGTATGCACATTTACGTCCACGGGCTCGTATGTATGGCTAGTCCATTTGCTCAGAAATAGTCCTTGGCTTGTTGGGCTTTAACAGTCTCAGGGACGGACTTCTTAAATAGATCGCCAACCAGTAGTGAACCGTGGCTCCTGCTGAATGAGTTGTATCACTAACCGAGCCTGGCTTCTTCAGGATCCTGTGTCGTGACAGGAGGCCCAGGAGTTTCTTCCTTCTTGGGCAGGTGCATCTGTGCCTAACCAGAACGGACGGGTTCATATCCTTTCCCAGCAGGTCAATCACCGAATTCTCTCATGAACTCAGTATCCCATACCCGAATGTAATCTGCTTTGAGTGATGAGACCGACGAACCATCCAGTGAATGGATGAAAACATGCTGAGTCACTGGCAATTATAGACCACTAGAAATAAATCAAAATAATCAAAATCATCAGGAAATTACATGTTTGTAAGCAAGCATTCGCTATGCGGCTACCACCCGCCGAGGTTTCCTACCGAAGTCTCCTATCTCCTGGTCTCCTATGTGGTCTGATGTCGATTTGGCATTTCACAAGCAAACTGCGTTTGACTAGTCTTGCTCACATCTGAAAAGCCACCCACACCAAAACGACCAAACAAAGTAGTGCTTCAACAGCACAAGTCTATGCAATTATTGTGGAAAACAAAAAATGGAAGAAAGAGCGCGACTCTACTCTCCCACCTTCCGCAACTGGAGTTCTTCCTTCAAAGCTTGGATTTGATCTTCAACGTGCGCCTTCCAAGGGCGGTCGTTAAACACTCGCCCCCCCGCCGGTCTCGGAACCTGCTTCCAACAGGACACCCTTGCAACCACAGTAGTATATAAGTTACATTCAAGTTAAGTGAATGGATATTCAATCTAAGTGAATGGAAAGGGTTACTCTCCAATTGTGGTAGGGTTCAAAAAGGCTGGGAAGCCTCCAGGCTGGGAAGCCTTAGGGTTGCAAAGGCTGGGAAGCCTCCGCAGCCATTTCAAGGGGCGCCGGGCGGCGTGGGTGGGGCGGCGTCGGTGGGTCGGTGCCGGTGGGCTCATGGTCGGGGTCCCCAGGTTCATGCATCCATGATCTTGCAGCTCAATTTGCCTGGCATGGTTCACATTCATGTTGCCTCGGCCATTTAGCCTTTTGCCTCGGACGGTCGACCTTCCACACGTGGTTTCGGAAGATTGAGGAGCCACGCATCAGTCAACGTTTATGTTGAATAGTTTTGCATCTCACGGTACTTTTTCATTTGTGCCAGAGTGCTTTTTGGTGTTTAGTGATGTTTAGTGACTTGCAGCAGTCAGAGATATTGCAGGAGCAACAATGGATTCAACCGCCGATTCCACGACATCGACAGCGGGAAGCTCTGGAGGCGGTCGGGTTCATTGCACATGATCAACGATCAAAGCAGTGGCAGTCTCGTCACGCAAAATAGATTTAGCTCAGATCCAATTTTATCAGATTCATTGATTGGATGCATTTCTGACCAGATGAAATTCGATCTCCACGGACACCGCCACTGCCACGGCCGGCACCTGTGACCCCGCCAGAGCTGCTGCTTCGTTCCTTGACATCATCTTAAACCTTGAAGAACTTGCTTTCATATGCTTTCATGACAGCTTCGCAAGGAGGGTATTTTGAATCATGACATTTTCAATGTCACCATCACTTTTGAAATAATACTTTCATCTCAGGCGCGGAAGAAGAGGAGCGAGCGCGCGCTGACATGGTGCATGTGTCGCTGAGTGCGCCAAAGAAGCGGAGGGTCGTTGTGACGTTCGAGGTCACACCAGAGACCACAACCGCAGATGAGGATTAATTGGTGATGGTAGTAGGTAGGAAGTGAAATGCAATGCAGGAGCAATTGAAATCTAGCCTAATCACAAATTAGAAGTCGAAATAACTAGCAAAGAGCTGTTGAGTCTGAGTCTGTGGTTGAGGCCTCTGTTTCTCCATGTTGCCGTGAGTTTTGCTCTCATGGTCTGGGAAGACCGGCGCCAAATTTTACGCCTTGCCGGGAAGGCACTTACTTCATTTTAATAGAGATGATGATGGCAAAGGCAAGGAAATGTCTTGCTACCTTCGGCCAGATTCAACAAAAAAGGATAAAAAGTGGACGAAATCAGGCTGGGAACCTGTATTGTTTCATTGGAGTGGGTTGGGACTGGTGGGTGGGTTCTGTGGTTCGGACTGTCGGACTGTTGGATTTTTTTCCAATCTGACATGAGGGGACTGGTCCAGTGAGGTGTGGTGACAAATTAGAGTGAACATGTCACTGGTCCTGACGAGTGTCCACACCACGTGTTCACTGTTTCTTGATTCCCGCTCTTGCCAAGGTCTCACATGTGATGATGGCAGTGCCTGGTACCCCAGCAGTCGTGCGCACGCTCCTTTTGAGTCTTGAAGAGACTGAGTGAGTGACTCAAACCACTTGCCAATTCTTGGTGCTAATGGTGACGTGCGTATTCTGTTTTCTAGTCCTCGTGTGTCTGCATTTATGCGAATGAAGCCTAATGAATCTGAAGATATCTGTAAATCAATAATCGAATACTTATGCAAAAAGAAAGATCATAACTGACTTACAGCTTCAGTTGCTAGCACGCTATCATGAAGAATACTTCAAATCTGACACTCATTGAATTGGCACATGGTGAAACTTGCCAGCTGTGCCCAGGCCAAAGGACTATGTGCCAGGATTCCCAGTGACGGTCAGCTGTTCATCTTAGAAGCCAGTGTCAGTTTTGTGTTACAGTTGATGAGCTGTTCTTCTTCTTCTTCTTATGATTTTTCTTCTAACAAATGATGGTTTGCATTCCACCCCAACTGAAACTTCCATCTACTGGGCTGGGAAGCCCATGTACTGGGGCTGGGAAGCCGACGTAATGGGGTGAATGGTTGAACATGGTTGAACCATGAGGCCACGCACGGGCAGCGTCTAAGTTGCTCAAGCCCTCACACCATGAGCCGCAAAAGGACGAGGGCAGGTGCAGGAGCATGTATGGAAGACTTGGTAATGGTTCTTCCTGAAATGAAGCTGATCCGCATGTGGGGCTTCTTTGTAAAAATGCAAAAAACATCCATGACATCATGCCCTGGCACGCCGTCCGTGAGTGAAACCAAGGACCACCCCATATCCGGTTCCAGCAGACCTCAGTGAGATCAACAATTGGCCACACGTGGTGTTGGAACGATGTTGCATGCTTTGGGGTGAAAGGGCGGTGAAAACACAGCTGAGAACTTTGTCTGAATTTTTCCACGTGAGTCACATGAGTATTGAATCTCAGTCCAACCCTTTTGTGAACATGCCACTCTAGAACTGAAGCCTTGAGTCACCTCTTACGCGTCACACGATCCGAGGACAGGTGGACTGGAGCATCACCAGCTTGTTCAGTGGAATTGAATGCTTGCGTGAAGCTTTGGCAATCTTGGACACTGCCGTCGCTGACAGGTTTTCTTTCGCGTTGGGTGTCAAATACTCTTTGATGGCATCTCGCAATGAATGTTTAATCAGTTTGATGGCGTGTTCTAGTCTTAGTCTAGTGGGTTGTTTGCTGCCTGGTCCATGGTACAGTTTCAAAGACATTTCTGCGAGGTAGAAAAGAACACCGTATGCAACAAGCTCTTGGTGGACCACTACCCAACAACGTGTGTGACGAAGGACGTTTTCAACCTGTTGAAAACCACTCCCAAAGCCAAGACATGGAAGCCACACAAACTACGCTTGGCTGATGACTTTGAATGCTGCACCCACAAAGGGCGGTTGCTTGACAAATTGGGCCCATTTGTTCTTAAGCAAGTTGAGTTTTTGAGTTCGGTCTCAAATTCACTTTGATCTGACATTAGAACACCGACCCTACCCTTTGAGCGTGCCCTCCTAAGGTGTCCATTGAGCTGGGAAGACAATTCTGTCTTGACCCTTGGGGCTCCGTGCATCTCGCACAGCAAGTATCTTTGCCTAAGCGGTGTCACTGACTGTCATCCATTGTGTTTACATTTGAAAAGCTTCTTTCACGGAGACACATGTTGTCATCCAATTAAAGCTTACCAATTGTTTGGGAACGATCACAAATGGTCGTCAGGATTGGGAAGGGGGATGGCTTCTCCAATGAACATACGAAGAAGCTCCATGATGTTGGCACCCGGGCCATGAATAACACCAAACTGTGCATCCATGAGAACGTGACTGAGTTTGATGAGGAGAATTGTCTTCGATTATTGAACCGTCACTGCTGTGATTCATTTCTTTGCACATGGTATGCGCTAGCAGGACGACTATTTGTCACGTGAAACTGGGTTCACAATCGAGAAAGCAACGCTACTTGTCAGCCTAGTCCTAGTCATGTCACAATTATATGGAGTGAATGTCTCCACTTTGAATGCCCATGAACCCCTGGTTTTCTCACTGAGATGCCTGCCGTCCCAAGGCTTTCTCCTCGATGCTTCGGTGAGCCTACCAGCAGGGAGCGATCTTGGAGGATTTTGTATGATCCCAACAAGCTGCGATGGAATTGCATGTACTCATTTGAAGAGCTGACCAAGATTCTTTTGTGTTCACCAAATGCTCCTTTGAACACCTCACCGTGTCTTTTCTTCTGGGGTAAACCTACCACCAGCAAGACTTATCACGGTGAAAGTACTACTTTGTGCAATTCTGCCAAGACCTTCCTGGCATCATACACCGAGAAACGCCCCAGTAAGAACTACTTCGACCTCGCTTCCAACCCAGAATATGTGTGCCGCGCGGAGACCATAGATGGGGCACTGATGACGTTGACGACAAACACCAGGATTTGGAGACTTGGGCTTATATATTTGTTTGCAAGCTATTGTTGGCTGTGGGCTGTGAAGTTTCTAAATGCCTTTCATTCATCGCATTCACCGCCTGCCCCAAAAAATCAGGAGCAGGAAGAAGAGAAGGCTCATGCTGGCCAAGGAGATGCTGTCCACCCTTGGCTACCCTGTGCACCCGAGCAGTGCCACTGACTTAGGCGCTGCAGCTTGGCCCAGGTTCTAGGGCTTGAAGTTCACTGGAAAACTTTAGTTTCCCTGCCGGCTGGGAAGCCTTTGGTTACACAGTAGGCTGGGAAGCCTCCAGTTTCATGGTTTGATGGGGGTCCTCATTTTCTAGTGATGCTTTTTAATTGCTTTGATTGGGTGTCCATGGAGGTGTGTCACATGTATGACCCGCATCTGGTTCTAAGGATGTGAGGACACTTGAAGGTGCATCTGGGGCTGCGATTCGCAAAATGGCCGGAAACGGCATGCATTTAGCATCTGGGGCCTTCACTGCCTTAATTGCAATGTTGTGCTTAAGCCCCAACGTGGGCTAGAGCACGCGAACTATTTTCGCAACCAAGCCATATGGCCGGGGTCTATGGGGAAAATTGTGCACCCTGCATGGGTTTTGGAACTAGATTCAATTTGTTTCGGGTTGAATCGATGAGGGCAGTGGGTTGAAACAATCAGGGACGTTCTGGTCACATGAAACACCAAGACCATTCAGAAGCAGGGTTGAAATGATGAACCAAGCCGGGTCCTGTTCTTCCCAAATTGCATGTGGGAAAAGCGTGGTAAACTGGAAACATGTTTGTCTCTGAGAGTAATGAAACTAATTTCTGGCCGTTACAGTAAGTTGTTGTACAATAAGTCCATGATACGATGCATTATGTGCGCTTCCCTGTTATTACCGCCGCAGTTTCTTCGTCCTATGATTGAATAGTTTCAATGTACCACAGGTTCCTCATTGCCTGCGTGGGGTTGAAATCAAACGTTTTCTATACATTCTCAACTTCCAGCGCATCATCACCTTCCAGCCAGCTGTATACAACATATACATTGACACACATGTCGTAGAACTATCATCAATGGCTATGATGGCTACCATTGCGTTCAGTGTGGGGCTGCCGGGAGGGGAATGCCACCCTTTCAAGATGAAGGGGAGGAGATAGCCAAGACCAGCGCGCCTTCACGTCAAGTGAGTGGGCGTGGCTCCAAGCCTGAGCTAAAGCGGGCGAGAACTACACCTAAACCCTCACTGTTTGGAGAAGAACCGGAAGAGAGGGAAACTCGAGGTGGAAGTGGGTCTTCCAAATCAAAACCGGATTCCAAATCAAGGGCTACACCGGTACTGTTCGGTGAGGAAGGGGAAGAACATGAAGATGATGGGGGTCGGAGTTGGATGAGCCAACTACCTCTGGCCCGAGCCAGACTACTTTCAACCTTGATTGGAGTGCATTGCATATGTTTGAGAAAGCGTGCTTCTTGAAGAAAGCAACCGAGCTTAGTAAAGAAGAGCGAAAAAAGAGACCATATGACAATTCCAAAAGAGCTGAGAATGCAGCTGGCTCGACGAGAACATCTTTTAAGGATGCTGCCTTGGATTCCAGGAGGCTGGCGGAGCTCAAGGCCAAACCTCAATGCAAGTGTGCTTGGGCATGAACGGAAACAGGTCTTTTTTTTCCAGTCAGATCATTAGTCATAGTGGAGTGAAATCTCATATCCTGGTTCAAAGGTCCACGCCTATTAGTGTCCACTTCTCTCGGGGCCTAAGGTGCGTTGAAGAGTTGCTTTCGCACCTGTGATTCAAAAGCTTCCCTTGACTTTTTGCATTCCTTCTGGAACCTTGACAAAGCTGACCAGGGTTCATTCGAAGCTCAACTGCAACTGAAAAACCTTGCAGTGCGTACATAATACAACACCCCACTCAATGCCATGATGTTGTAATTATTTTGTATGCATGTCAAACCAAATCAAACCTAGTTGCATACTACACTTGGTGAATCTCTTGGTGGTGGCAGTGGGCAGCGCCAACAGCTCTACTTTACCTTTGTGGGAAAGGAGATTGGGCGTGAATGTCTGTGCGCTGTGCTTGGTATTGGAATCAACCGGTTTCGCAAAGGAATGAATTTGGTACCAGATGGGAGAGTTGGTTTGCAGAAGTCTGGAAGCCAGCGTGATACAGCTTCTGTTGATGCTTTCCTCAGTGTTCTTTATGAGGGCTTGGCCGAGACATTGCCTGACAGGCGGGGGCTCATCATGATATGGGGTATGGGAAACGGAGCTACTTATACCCCGCAAGAAACATAGCAAGGGTTTCACAATGATCAAGGTTTGATTACCTACTACGGTTACGCTGAGTATGAAAATTTATGTAATGCCTCAATGAAGTTAGACTGTCAAGAAAGTTGATGGCCTGAAGGTTTGTCAGACGTGGCAGAGCTGCTCATGGTGACGACCCTGAGTTCGATGTGGAAACCGACTCGAATGAAGTCACGGATGAAATCCGTGAATGGCTCGACCGTCCAGGGAAAGGAGTACTCTGGGACACCATGCCAACGAGTGAGAAGAAAATCACAAAGTATTTGGCTCCAGGAACTGTCATGGATTTGTTTACACACTACCAGGCCACCAGGCAACTCTTTGGCTCTGTGGCAGTTTCGTATCTAGTTCGCATACAAATTTGAAACACATATTTGGAGCTTTGATTTTAATACTAACTTTGACTTGGTGGGATGTGGTAGCCTAAGATCCAAAGCCTAGTGGAAAGTCTCCAACAAATGGCCTGGCCTGGGCCTGAGGTACTCCACGTTTCTTCGAGTCTATCAAAGCCGATGGAGTGACATTCTGAAATTCCGGCACCGAACTTTGCACTTTGGCTGAATCACGTCGTTTTGTTTTATTAGCCTTTAACCTCAGCTGCGCTCGTTACCCCAGCTAGTGTAATTTAATGACTGTCAGGTTCACGGAATGTGAACTGTGCTTCCAGTTCAAGGAGGGCATTGCAAAAGCAAGAAGCATGGAAGTCAAGCTCGGTGAACTTGTGAAATATCGGAGTCACCTGGCCTCCCAGTATGCTGACAGAGCTCTCACGTGGGCGCTTCAAGAGCTTGGTTCAGATCCACTTGGCGACATATTGGTGGTTCAAGTGGACGGAATGGATCAAGGTAAATTCCGCCTTCCGAGGGACCCGAAGCTGAAATCTACTGCCAGCCTGGCTAAGTTCGTGCGACCAAGACTCAAAGTCCACGGAGTGTGGCTCTTTGGCTATTCCTTGGAACTATTCGTGATGGATGAGCCTACGCGTCATGACGCGTCTTGCATCACCGAATGCATTGCTCGTGGCATTGAACGTGTTTCAGAGATCTGTCACCGTTTGGGACGACGGGTGCCTTCTAAGTTGGTGATTCTCGGTGATAACACCGTGCGAGAACTCAAGAATCAAATCAATTTGGGCTATGCTTCACGCCTATGTGCTTTGCGGAAGATGAGGATCTGTATGATAATGTTTCTTCGCAAAAGCCATACCCACGATCGCATTGACCAAGTTTGGGGCATTCTTGCGCGCCGCATAGCAAATACGGATTGCTTGCTTGATCCTACAGATACGATTCAATGCATAGAGGCAGAGCTTCGAAGACCTGGTTTGCGGACCTTCCTGGGCAGCTCTTGCGAGATTCATGTGCAGAAGTTGGATTCTGTGAGGGACTGGAAGTCTCAGTGGGAGCGACATGGGGTCTCTTTGAGTGGCGGGCTTTTGGAGGACGCATCTGGCAACCACTCCTTTATGATGTTTCAGCGGAAAGGCTCAAAGTTTCACAAAATACTTAAGTAACTTGTGTGTGCACGGCGCACCATGTTTTAAGCGCGTGGCTTCCCAGCCAAGTCGTTTGACGCTTCCTTTAGTTTCCCAAACTGCTCACTGCTTGCCACCCTGAGACCTGCCTGAAGCACTTGCCAACAATGTGAACGTTGGAAGCTTTCGGGGGGTGGCTGAAGCAGGGGACGTTGTGTGCCTGGTGAAGCGGTACATTAGTGATGGGGAACTATCACAAGCCCCTTTGCTGGTTCTTCCATCGGTCCGGGCGGACAGGGCCGACTTGAACGCTGCTTCGAAGCAACCTGGACCTGACCTCAAGCAACAAGTTAACATAAAACATTGACGCGTTCCTTCAACCCACCGTTTCTGGGAGAACACAGTCGGTTGGAATTGCTAAGTGTCTCAACACAGACTTTGGAAAGTTGCCTCATGCAGCCCCTGAAACCCCCCATTGACAGCCAGCTAAGGCATGAGAACAATCACTCGGACGGGTTCAAGAAACAATGCCTTCAGCTCGCAGCTGGGATCGCGGACTCCTATGGCCAGCCATATGCCAAGGCCATCCAGTACCTCAAGGAGCGATGGGGTGGGATTGGTACTTTGAAGTCATATGCGCATTCATAATCACACTGGGGGGGATGACAGTGTTCACGCAAACAAATTTCAACATGGCATGGTGTATCTCCCAGCCATTGGCAGGATTTAGCTGCAAACCGATTCTGGATTGATGCGGTGTTGCCCCGACTTCCCTGGCACCAAGCGCCAGGGGAACCAGCTATTGGTGCACCCGAGTTTAGGCTTCACAAGACAGTATTGCAGTCGATTGCCCCGGCAATGCCCTTGAAGGCAACTTTCTCCGGAGTCCGGCATTGAGCCAGCTTTCCAGTTATTTTTTGTATATAGATTGATTTTATAAATGTTGTTCCATTTGAATGAACTCACAATGGACAATTGGGCCAGTGGCAAGTGGTGACGAACTCCAGGACTCACGCCAGTGAACACTTTAAATCTTTAGGCTTGAAGGCTTGAAGGCTTTCGCAAAAGTGCAGTGTCCGAGACTCACAAATCACCACAACATCTTGGCTGGGAAGCCAAATGGCTGGGAAGCCAAATGGCTGGGAAGCCAAATGGCTGGGAAGCCAAGTGGCTGGGAAGCCAAATGGCTGGGAAGCCAAATTGCCAAATGTTTGGTTGGGTTTATCGGTTGCCCACTGCTGTCCCGCTGCCGCTGAGGCCATGACGTGGCTCTTCAAGGCTTCATCAATCGGCCTGGCCCCAAGCAGCGAAACAGAGCCCACCAGTGGTATGAACTGCTACTACTTTAAAGCTTGGACCAAAATTCATTCATCAATGGTTTTGAGCGGGCTTCATGGGTGCACTTTTGGTTTTGAGGGGGGTTCATCGATGTACTTTTGGTTTTG